GGGGGTGGGGGGGGGGTTGCAATCCCCAAAACCCACCCCTAGATCCGCCACTGATCATAATAGAGAATTAAAGCCAAGCATTGTAATCAGAAGCAAGTAACGAGGCCTAAAGCTGGTTGTATTTCAAAAACAAATTAGATGTTATCAACGCGTGCATGGGAATGAAACATTGTGAGTGCCTGAGGCCATTTTATAAATCTGATTCTGCTTTCTCCTGATTGGCTACAGTTTTCAGTCTTCATCGTGATTGGTCAACTGTGTAAACAGTTCCAGGTCCCAGCATGGAAAGAGTGCTCGCACTGTAAATACATGATGTATTCTTCCAGTTCTGTTAGACTAAAGGTTTTTATGTTTTTCTTGTTTGCTTTCTACATTATATGTGAGTCATGATTTCATATACTGTTTATGAAAATTAAAAACGTACTGTTTAATCAAAAAATAAAAAACCCCAAACGACCGCAAGTTTCCTGGAACACAGCCATAGGGAATGTTGAGCAAAAAGTGCGGTATTGATCAATATATCCGGTTTTTTTTTTTAATTACTTTGTTCATGTTTTTATATTTCTTCAGAATTCCTCCCTCCCTCCCTAGCTACCCTAATGTTTCTGACAAAAAACTCGGCTCTTTCGCGACAACGAATCGGTGAGCGAGTCCACGGATGTTATTCATCGAGGACTGGTAACCATCACTGAGTTAAATAATTCATCAATAGAGCACGCCTAGCTGATCGAACAACTCAACGTGTCGTATATGTAAATCACTAACTCAAGCTCCTCCGAGAAAGAGACCTCTGACTCAATAGCCCCAATAGACTCAATAGTTATTTCTGATCGATCACTCAATATTGCCAAACCTAAGATAGCTAGACCAGATAGATAGTCAGACCAGACAGGTAAATAGATTGAGTCGCTCCCTTTCGTAACATCTGATTCCTACCCACTGTGGTTACAAAAGAGATCGCGTTTCCAAACATAACTTGAAAGCCGGTTGTCCCCAATGTAAGTTGGTGTTCCTCAATTTAACCTGACAAGTTACCTAATGTAACTGAAGTTTCCTTTTCGCAATCCACGTAGTTCCCAGTAGTTCAATAGAGCTTATTTTCTTGGTGCAATGTTTTCTGGGAAAACACTGCACTACGAAGAATACGGCCTATATTTTCTGTTATTCCTTTTGTTTTATTCCTTCCTGTTGTTCCAGAATAATAAAAATAATAAAGTAATAAATGTACTGTAATTCCAATTGAAATTTAGGAGTTGATTTTTGCGGATGGAGGGAAGCCGGGGAACCCGAAAAACCCTCGAAGCACAGGAGAGAGCCAACAAACAACTCTACTCACTATACAACACCAAGCTCAGCGGGTCGCATTGGTGAGAGGCGAGCGCTCTCACCGCTACGACACCCGTGTTTCCCATACTTTGCTTTTTAAATGAAAGATCATAATCACGGCTGTTCAATTTTTGAGAAATTGCTTTATGCGAATAACTGAAATCGAGTTAGAAAAGTGTAGTTAGCACAGTAATGTGTTACCTCTAGTGAGCCAGTGAAAGTTCCGCACCGAGCACCCCCTTCACAGTTCCCCTGATTTCGAAAGGTAACCGAGCCT